TATTATTATTATTATTATTATTACCTGCCATGTATGTAGAAGCCATAACAATTTAATGGTAAAATAACTAGACTGATATTTGCTATGGAACACAAATTCACAAATTCCTCCATCCGGTTCCTGACGCACCGTTCGTAAAGTACGACGCGTGCCAACCATTGCACGCAGTATGCAGCGACGTATATTAAAATACATACTGTATAGTGAAAAATAAAATTATACTGATGCCCGGATTTGGTTGGTTCAGGTTTGGTCGCATCGACGAACCGTGGGCATAGCTTTAATATCTATTTGTAAAATGTGCTGCTTATAATAGTAAATAGCTCTCCCTCCATCTTAACGTCGTTTTAAACGTTAAACATACCTGAAAGGTGCATAGCACTCCAAACAACTGTACAAGAATACTTATTTTCCTCCTAGTCTGTAAGTTTAACCATTGGCTCGCAACGAAATACGTTCTCCAAATGCTGATCTGGGTATCATTATCTTCATCCGTGATTCGAATGGAGTCATTTGGTATCCAGTCAGTGATGGTGGAAACGAGAGTAGCTCCATTGACTGGAGATGAAGGATTATCAGCAGTAAACCTTGTATTGTAATTATAATCGTCCATTTTATATGAGATTCTTCTGCGTTTAGCTTTTATACTTTCTGACGACATCTCATAATGTTTGTACTTCTTTTTTGAGAGTTTGTCGATGTACAGTTTGTTTATGGGTGGATAGGAACGGTTTTGTTTAGGTTGTTTGTATGTGGGGGTCTTTGGTTGCTCCCAGTCGATGAAAAACGTCTTCACGTTCCAGTAATGGTAGATGAAACCGATTATCTCTATAAACTAAATCAGAATTCGATTTCTATAATGAGATCAGTTTATGTATGCAACATATATATGGTTGTTATTAGGAATTCCATTTTGGCTGAAGTTCAGAATAGTCCCTCCCAAGCTTGTTATATGAAATGCACGTAATTCTACTAATTTTCAAGTGCTGAACACGAATATACAATTGTTTCCGGCGGACATAATTTATAGAGGGCGTTTCGCTTAAAATTGACCACCTAAATATCTTCTCTATCTCTGTAAGTACAAAAACTGTTTCTGATTATTGTGCATTCATCCATGTTAGAACTACCTTGAAATGACCGTCGACTCTCAAATTTGGTAATTAATTCAGAACTTCCTTTCAACGACATGACTCATATTCTTCAATATTTTAAAATTAATAGAATTACGTGTAGTTTTTTTGTAAAAATCCTGGGGGGACTAATCTGAACTCTTACCTCCATTTTTAAATTGTACTTTCATAATGGAACGTATGTGGACTTACTTTGAAAGAAAACGCGACCGTCGCAAATGTTTTTAACGTCTGCTCGCTGATCTCTTCGGGAAATAGAATATATGGTATCGTTTGTCCTTTGTAAAATATAAAGAGGTAGAAACAGAAACTGACCGAACATACAACGATCACGCTGCCCATGGCACCCATGGCGTAAATGAAATACGATGTGAGTAATGGTATACCGAAAAAGGAAGAAACGCTATGTCGTTCTCTGTAGCTCCACGATTTGAAACCAGAGAAGATTAAGATCGATCCCGCGGCGATCCCGATAATTATCTGAAACGTTTACTCATAAAAAAGGTGTGTACAAACGGGAACGGTTCGGCTTACAGTAATTAGACTACGGATTTTATTCAATTGTATGACATTCAACGCGTACGTGCAGAAAGTATAAACGCAAATGCATAAAAATATAGAAAATGTGGACAGTTCATTTTGAAAGTGGTGTAAATTCATTTCTTTAAAAAAAAATTAGATATATTGTGATTAATAATTAATGACGCATAATTTGTGATTAATTTAGTGTAAACTTTTTAGTCTCCACTAGTTAATGTTTAATATTTTTAAAAAAAAGGCCAATGGTTTGTTCAATTTAAAATTGGCTAATAAAAGAAATTGCGTAGTGATTGATTATAAAAGTAGTATAAGTCCATTTACAGTCTGTAAGTACAAATATACAGGCTGTCCCAGAACTAGTGTTACGCCATCAAGTGGAGAGGAGCAGAAGTGATTTTGAACAACTTTTTCCTTTGCAAACAAATTGTCCGAGGCATGGTTATCGAGTTATTAACAAACAAGTACAAGTCCATTTACAGCCTGTAAGTGTAAATATACAGGCTGTCCCAGAACTAGTGTTACGCCATCAAGTGGAGAGGAGCAGAGATGATTTTGAACAACTTTTTCCTTTGCAAACAAGCTGTCCGAGGCATGGTTGTCGAGTTATTAACAAAAATCCAAAACGCAAAAACTTAGCAAACTTCAAAAACTATAAAATTGCATTCCAATATAAAGAAACCTAAATATAGTGTATTAGCGATTAAGAACTGTCGGTTTTAGTGTTAATTGATTGCCATAGATATTTTATTTTGCGTAAAAATCCGCAGTCTAGTAATTATTAATTATTTTATGATCCTTTAAGTTTCCATCCTTACCAGAAACTGCAAATCGACCACGTCGCCCTTATCTTCGACGTCGAAAATAATTTTATAATCTAACGTCACTTCTTTTATTTCGCTCATCTGTTCGCGAGTTAATTCGCCATATTCGACGATTAGTAAAGGTGGATGTATTTCGTTTGCATCGTTCGTATTTCGAACGTTGACACTACAATTATAAAATGCAGATTTAAACCCATCACATGTGTTGCTATCTTCAGACACGTTCCGCATATTTAGGGAAATGAAAAGGACTTACATTATACTTAAGGATTTCATGTAAGACAGTACAGATAACTCATTGATTTTCTCATCCTCGTTAATTGTATCATTTCGTATTCGTTTATCTAAACCGCTTACATTGTCGACAAGGAAAAACATTCGCGCCAACTAAAACCCATCTCATTAATTTTAATCAATGTCCCAATTCCTGTTAAGGTAGCTCGCTATTTGGGTAACGTATCAAGAGAGGGCTTATTTTAAAATAAGAATATGAACAGAAAATTTCATTATCAAATGTATATTATCATTTCCACATTCATATATTTTAATGTTGTATTATAAAAAAGTATAAACAATGTAAAATAAATAAGTTTTTATTTATGACTGGGGCGATGATAGTGAA